CTGATATTGAACACTTAGAATTTGCACACCACAACTGGTTGATGTCTACCGCCTGTGCACCATTCTATGACAGAACAAGAGCAAGAATTCAACTGTAATCCAATGGAAAGTCAGATAACATGTTCATGGCTGTCCACTGTGAAAACAAGCCAATCAGGGACAGCTCTAGTGTCCACTGGGCATCGATTTTCACTAGAATGACCACAATTCACTAGGAATTCCTCCACAGGGACAGCTCTAGTGTCCACTGGGCACCGAAGATTTTTCACTTGAATGACCACAATTCACTAGGAATTCCTCCAGTCAGCTGTAGTCAAAGTATCCAGGTCCTCAGAGGAGTTTTTGCACACAGACTGGAGGCTCAGTGTGCTCTTCTCTGAAGCCAAGCAAAGGGAGGATGCTGGTTAAATTCCTCTAGCTGCACAGCAAAACTGCAGGGCTTTGTAGAACAGAATAGCTTCAAGTTCTCCAGAGTAGTCCATTCTTTTTTATCAACTGGCACATACAGTGTCACTCAAAGAGATATAAAGAATAAAACACTTTTTCTTTACTTACAGTTCTGAATGAATCAAACAGCAAACTGACAAAACATGGCTTGCTGACTTTCAGCAATAGGCCTCAACAGACTTACTGGATCCCAACAGATTACAGAGATGGGAAGAAAACACAGCAGAAGCAGGGAAGGAATGTGCGGCTACTGCTGGATGGATTGACGATCATCCAAGCCCAGACAGTCCCACTCAGTCAAGCCTACTAGAGGCAGTATGCGAAGTTGCAAATGCCCCAACAGAGAGTGGGTGGAGCGAAGATTTGGATTTTTTTGGCTATAGCTGCCAGAATTCTGACTGGTGGAATTCCTTGGTGAATTGTGGTGGTTATAGTTTAAACAAACAAACAAACCCAAAACTCCTGTGCTTAGAGTTCAACCTGCCTTTAGATGAACTTCAGAGTGTGTAGAGGTGGGACTGGAGGGTGGAGAAGGAGTGAGAGTCAGTTTGAATGTTGTCTGAGTGTGAGAAGGATGATTGGAAAGAGTTTAAAGTATGGGTGTGAAGGAATGAGATCATTATCTGAGAGCTCTGAATTCATCCATGAATTTAGTTCTTGGATACCTTAAAAACAAACTAGGACAATTGACACTCAGGTCAAAGAAAGAACATGAGCATGAAGGCTTGATGAAGGGATGTAATAAATTACAGGAACTCTCATTCTCAATGACAAAGGGTATCAGTACACCACAAAACACCCTCTTGGAAAAAACTGTGAACTGCTGACAAGTTTTTGGCTGCTGAAGAAGAGCTAAAAGACCGCCACTTTCCCCCTCTTACATGACACATCTCAACAGATTATTTGAACCAGAGCTGTTTAGAATATGCTGAAGGATGACAGGGAAAATATGCTGTTGCTGATTTTGATTTCTAACTTGCATTTAACTCCTAAGCATTGTGTTAAGAAGCTCTAAACGATATGCACGCCGAGCTTAGCTGCTACTTCTAGCTTTGAACAGCCATTCTCTTCCTAAATGAAGACAAATTTGCAAAAGCACTCACTGCAATAACATATTTTGCTCCATAAGTGATATTCATCCAAGGGAACCTGATGAGAGGCAAAACTGTGAAACAAGATTGAACAAGTTTCTTAAATTCCTGCAATGGCTGAAAACCCAACCTTCTAGCAATCAAACAATGAAGTAAAGTTTTACAAGTGCCACCCCAAAGAGGGTAACCCGAGTACACTTATCGCATTCTAGCCTTAGCAAGACTTGGAGCACATGCCAAAAAAAAGAGACTACATTCCCCCATCAATCTCTAGAGTTAGAGAACTATGTCACATATGGTCACGACAATTCCAAGTCGACCCAGGCTAAATTAACTTTATGGGGTAACCTGGATTTAAAAATTGGGAAGTCATCCTTTTTATGTAGAGTGTGGACAGAGAAATTCTTATCTTAGACCAATTAATTGCACTGGATGACAATTTTTTGCCATTTGCCAATGAGACGTAAGTATAACCTGCCAGCTTCAGCCCAATGGCAGAATGTAGAATTACAATTACCATATTTTTCCGTGTATAAAATAACACTTTTTCTTAAAATTATTAGAGGAAAAATTGAGGGTCATTTCATCACTGAAGTAAGGAGAGGGGGAGGGATCAAAGCACTTTGATCCCTGCTTTCCCCTCCATGTTTTGCAAATAACGTGGATGGGGAAAGCGATTCATGCTTTCCCCCTACACTTTCATTGCAGAAAGTGGATGGGGAAAGCGGGTTTTTGCAAAGAAAGTGGAGGGGGAAAGCACTTTCCTCACAAGAAAGTGGAGGGGGAAAGCTGGAATCAAAGCACTTTGATCCCTGCCATTCCCCTCCATTTTCTTGCAATGAAATAAATTTTGGGTTAGAAAAGTGGGGGGCATCTTATACATGGTGGTGTCTTATACATGGAAAAATACAGTATCTAAATATGGTCCAGCAGCACTGAGTGCTGTCAGAGTCTCCTGCACGTTTGGAAAAGGCTTATTGCATCAGTCCAATAAAATAAACCTATATTATTTCTTTTTAACTATTTACTGTCAGTTTAATACATATGATATACAAGGTCTCATAGATTAATGGACTGGAAACAATTATTCACACACTACCTTATAAGTTTTCTTATGCAACTTATACAATTCTGATTCAGCCTATGATTTATCTCATAGTGTTTATGTCCGTGGCTAGAAAAAAGTTGAGAATGGCTGTTGTAGACATGGGAAAGAAAGTAGAACTGGTGAACAGAAGAACATATGTGATAGCTTCTTCTGCTGGGGGGGTGGGGGTTACAGCCAGCACTCCTAGCAGGCCATCTGCTCTCACCCTGCAGCACCTGAAAAGCTTAGTCACAGCTGCCCCTCAGGACTTGCAGGAAGGGTGAGAGCTCAGGTGTTGCTGGCGAGTAGGATGCGAGAGAACAGCTGGTCAGAGAGGAGGAGGGCATGCCAGTGACATCAAAGGTGTCTTCTGGGTCTTGGATGCCTGGTCAGGGGTCAGCTGCGTAGGAGATCTGGGGAGGAGGAGCTGGAGCCCATCCTCTATGGGTTTGGAGCATTTGCCTGGGAGAAGGACGACAACCTATGGTAGGAGCCTCTGAGCTGCTTTCTAGTGGGTAGGGGCAGAGCTCAGGAAAGAGGGGTGCCCAGTACCTCCTCCGTGGTCCTGAGACTGCTGAAAGGTCCAGCAGTGCTCAGCCCCACTCAGCTGAGGCATTGGCAGTGCAAGCAACAGCATGAGAGGAAGAGGCTTGCTAAAGAGTGGGAGGGCAGCTGCCTCTACCCATTCTCGCTGAAAAGCTCCCAGCCCAGTCCTCAACTAGGCTTGTTTTTTTTTTTACAAGGATGCCCCAGTGATGGGAACTGAGCCAATTTCTAGGGGACTAGTGCAGGAAACTCACTCCCCTGGGATAAGGAAGGGTGTGACAGGGAACCACTGTGCAAAGTATCTAATTCAATAAAAACCCATGTCACCAGCAACCTAGAGCCAATGGGATTATTAATGCGAGGGGAAAGTGGTGCTCACACAACTAAATGACTGTACAAGCAACATGAGTAACGAAAACATAATAGCAATCCAGAAGCATAGGAAGCTGCCTTACACTAAGTCAAATCGTTGTTTTATAAGGTGCAGCATTGTCACTTCTCAGTGCCCAGGGTTTCAGGGGACACTCCTTCCGAACCAAGCTGAAGATCCCTAATGCTTCCAGATGGTCCCCCCTCCCATCCCTGTATTTCCCAGCACTGCCTCATTTAGCTTCCAAAATCAGATGATATCTAGTGTGATCAGGATGGCAGGGTGACACAGATCAAGTGCAGTCAGGTCAAGGATAAAATGGTGGAAGGAAATGTGTACAATCCTGTAGCCCTTGGGAAAAACACTGGAATACATGTAAATAAATAAGAAGTCTGGATGTACCTAATTGAGGGAATTTTTGCTGCTAAACTAAATGGGTACTTTTGTCACCATCATGGAGGTCAGTGAATCTTATTAGCAAGAAAAATAATTTGACTTTAAGAAAATATCAGTTTGCCTGGTGTTTGTAACATTAAAAGGGAAACAAGTAAGATACATAATGTATTCTAGTAATTTTCTGTCTCTTAGCACAACATGCAAATTATGATAATAAGGTACATTATTTTCTGGTATGAATAAAAAGCTTAGCAAGCAAAATGTAAGAATTTCTATAATGAGCCTGAACCAGTTAGATAGGAAAAATAATAATGATTTCCTGAAAAATAATTATTAAATTAAGATCCCTTGGGTCATCCATCTATGAATCTATGAAGTGGTCACTGTCTTCTCATAAACATTTTCAAATAAAGAATATTTTGGGATCTCGCTACTTGTCTGAACGTCTTCTGCCAAGTGTAACTGGCTGTCTGATCCAGTCCTCATAGACCTCACGCCCGTGGGGGTTAGCTCCTTGTTTCTGGCAACTAGAAAGTGGAGTTTCTCTGCAGTGGCACCATCTCTATGGAATGCTCTCCTGCAGGAAATATGACAGATGCCCCTTCCTTTGCACATTTAAAAAGTTCCTAAAAACAGAACTATTCGGAGAAGCCTTTCAGGAGAATCTTCCCCAAAGCTGGGACACTGGAAGAAGAAAGAGAGGAACAACATAGTATGATTTGTCTCTGGAAGTTGTTTTGCCACCTGTTTTGGGTTATGATTTATGCCTGGGATAGGTTTGTGTTATTATATATTGTGTGCTTGTTGTACTCCATCCAGATTAGAAATTTGCTAGATGGTTAGTATATAAATTGACTGAACGAACGAACAGATGGATGGATGGATGGATGGATGGATGGATGGATGGATGGATGGATGGATGGATGGATGGATGGATGGATGGATGGATGGATGGATGGATGGATGGATGACGGATGGACGGAAAGACAGATGGACGGACGAAGAAATGAATGAACCAATGAATGAATGAATGAATGAATGAACAAATATATAAATATTTTACCAGCTCTCTTGGCAGAAAAGTTTCCTCTTGACGAGCAACAACTAGAGAGACCGTCTCTCCTTGCTTTGTACTCCTCAACGTAGCTACAAGCTCTTCCTGGGTTCTGCCACTGATGTCTCTACCATTTACCTGATGCATGCCATAAAAAAATACAAGCAATAAAGTCATTTATTAGCACATCTTGGCTGCGGAATGAGAAATCTCACTGTTAAATTAATGAACTAACATACTCTCAAATGACTGGTTTTGCCTTGTAGACCAAGGCTACAGATTAAATGTGGAGGGTGTTGCACATGCTGTGTGCTCATTTATTTTTAAACCCATCCCAGACCTGCATGGGATATTCTCTTGTTTCTTTCACCACTGTAGCCCCCTGTTCATGCTGAGTTGCCCAATTCAAAGTGCTGATTCTGACTTTAAAAAAGAAAGAAAAGGAAATATACCACCCCATAGTGCTTCAAGCACTCTCTGGGCAGTTTACAAGTTAATTTTGCAGGCTACACATTGCCCCCATCCCCCAGCGAGCTGGGTACTCATTCTACCAACCTCCGAAGGATAGAAGGCTGAGTCAACCTTGAGCTGGCTACCTGGGATTGAATCCCAGGTCATGAGCACAGTTTTGGCTGCAGTACAGCAGTTTAGCTATTGTGCCATGAGGTGAAGTGAATTGCGGCTTCATTACTGAAAGAATCATTTCCTCCAAACATACCTAGCAGATACTTCTTTCAGTGCCTCTACCAAGTGAGATGTGGAATGCTGCTTCTGAGGAAAGGGCCCTTCTTTTTCTCACAATCTGCTTGTGAAGTGCTCTCCCTCAAAAGCATGCCTGGCACCTATTTGTGGTCTTCTGGGTATCAAGTAAAAAAATGTTTTGTTCTCCAAAACCATTTAACTCTGTACAAGGAGTCTTGTGGTGCAGTGGTTAAACTGCAGTATTGCAGTCAAAACTCTGCTCATGACCTGGGTTCAGTCCTGAAGAAATCAGGTAGCTGGTTCAAGGATGACTTAGCCGTCCATTCTTCCAAGGTCAGTAAATTGAGTAACCAGTTTGTTGGGGGGGGGGGTTTGAGCAATGTTTAGCCTGTATAATTAAATTGTAAACCACCCAGAGAGTTTTTTAGCATTATGGAGTAGTATACAAGCAGCACACTTTTCTTTGCTTCTTTTAAATCTAAACTCAATCTAATTTATTTATCTGTGTTGCTGAGAGCTTTTGTGATATGTTTTATACTGTAGAAGAATAAAAAGCACAGTGATCTTTATTGAATGGTGGCACAGAAATGCTTTGAACACAATGAATAGTCAAGCAAACAAGAAGAATACATGCAGAAATATGTCAATACACCAGTTACATTCCTTCTGGCAGCAAGAATATAATCCTTAAATTGATGTGTGGGTATGTCTGGGGGGGGGGAGACATAATTTGGTGTTGTTAAAAATAAACTTTAAGAGCCACCCAGTTCCAGCTTCTAGAATGATGACTGCAATATATGGAGATGCTAATAGTCTAACTGAGGTGGAAGGGAAGACTTTTTGTAGTCACCATGATTAAACAGCAGTGAATAGGAAATAGAGTCTGATCTAATCTAAAGCAGATGTCCAAAGATCTGCGTTATTTGCAGATCTACTTTCTTTCCATCTTTAACACTCTCTTTCTCTCACACACACACACAAAATCTGACTATGCTGACAAGTTAGCCTGGCAAACATGTTACATTTAAACCCACTGATTTTTTTTTAAAAAAAATACTTAGTAATATGTTGCAAAGGAATAATTGACAGACCTCCAGTATTCTGTCCCCTGATTGTAAACGACCATCTTTAACAGCTGCCCCTCGGGGCAAAATGTTCTTTACAAATATAGGTCCAGGACCATGGACTGAAGAGTCTCTTGTAACTACAGTGAAACCAAGTCCTTCAGGACCTAGAAGAAAACAGACAGAAAAATCTGCAAATCTGAGAGCAGTGAAAAGTTTATCATCAAAAGCATTTTATTTTAAGAACGAGACACTTTGATTCAAGTGGATCTGTGTTATACCAAGTGTCACTGTTGTGCTTCAATCACCTGCTTCATTTTAATAGTGAATTAAGGTTGTATTTTCAACTACCTCTGAGTGGCTTCTTTCCCCATCAGATTTCTTCCAACTACAGAAGTCATTTACTTTCCACCTCTTGAGTTACGTCCGTTTTTCTTGGGCAAGGAATGAAATATAATTTATGATCTCAAATCAATGACACAGTGGGTGAAATCCTGCTGCACAGCTCTGTGTACACAATGTAGACGTCATCAGCAGTGCCAGCAAATCATTGCTGATTAAAAGTTTCCTTTCATGATTTAGTTGCATTCCATTATGAGTCACAAGCACTCTAAGATCACAGTGATTTCCTTTAATCAGCAGAAATCTGGTGTCACCTCCACTGTGCATGCAAAACTGCACAACAGAATTTCAGCCATTGAGAGACAGGAGGTCAAAGGCATAGTAAAAATATTGACAAGACCTTATAAGCCACAAAATCTTATTGCTCTCCCCTATAAAGCTGGGGGCAGATGGGCGGTGGGTAACCCCAATGAGAAGAAGTCCACTTAGAATTGCTAATCACCCCTGCTCTTCATCCACTTTCGGATGCTTAAAAAGTGTTGAGCTGCATGTTTCAACTTAAAATGTGGAACACCATATTTTTATTGCAACATTTCAACACTCATTTAAAAATATTCATGATGTCTGATGAGATTCCACTAATTCTAAGACTGAAAGGGCACACAAATCACAACATAATGGCTCAGAAAAAAAACACACAAAGGGAATCTTCTGCCTTGCTCCTGGCTGGCTTGGAGGTGCACCAGGGAGCAATGGGGCACTGCAAGGAACATGGGGTGCTATGGTGCACGTTTTGGAACATTAAAATGATGGCAAATATGGCTTCACTAAGAAACAAACCATCTCCCTGAAGTGTTGCTGAAGTCTTAGCAACTGGCAGATGGGTAAAGTCTTACCACAAGTCAAATAGATTATTTAAGTAATTCTCACCAATATTCCTAGGCTTCAAATTTAATATTCATGCAGTTGCAGCTATTTCAAATATGCTGATGCAATAACTCCTTTTTGTTAAACATTTCCAATTGCCATCTAGGAACTCCAAATTTATTTATTTAAATTACTTATATGCCTCTTTTCTCCCCATAGGGGACCAACGGTAACTCACAACAGATAAAACAACAGATTTTAAAACGCTGTATAAATATCATATTTTTTTAAAAAATTAATCATATATTAAGATTTTAAAAATCAAGTTTAAAAAACAATTTAAAAACATTTAAGGGCTCATCTGGTTCTACTTCCTTTACAAAATATGAATCAAACTAAGCAATTATGCAGCTACATAAAATATATTAGTCATATGTAAAAATGATCATGGTAGGAAAGGTTTAACACCTTATACAGTAATGTAATTCATACCTTTCTTGAGGTCTATTCTTATCCTCTTTGCATTTTTCTTGCTGCCAAAGCCCATCAGTGGAGATAAAGATGGTGATGATGTCTTCCTACCAACCCTTGGAAAGTTAGGGCTCTTGGCAGGATGCAACACTGTCCGTGTACCAGTCTCCAGCTGATTCATTCCAGACAAATCTAATTCCTTTGGCACTGGCTTTGAATGGATGGGAGGTGGAACTTTCATCTTTGAAATATGTTCAGCATTATCTGAGGAATATAAAGATGCAATGACAGACTTCTCATACTGTTCACGGTTGTATGGAGGAACCACTTGTAAGGTGATAGCTGGAGCTTTCATTGACTGCCGGAAGAGGTCTTGCGCTCTGTTGAGGAGAGTCAGGGTAGGGTGAGACAGTAATATGGAAAAAGGCTTGAAAATGTCTGTAATATCAAGCTCAACCAATCTGAAACTACATCACAGAATGGCTTTTAAGAGTTTTTTTTTTCTTCTTGCACCACCTGGCACAGCTCACTTAGGGAAGATGGTTTGTCATTCTAATGTGTATTTACCTCAGCATACAGAGTTCTTAGATTTCTTATCCTACGTTGCCTCATAATTATGAAATGAAATACAATCTGTAAGACACTTGCTCCAAGTGCCACCCCATGAGTTCCACAGCAGAAGTAACAAGAACGACAACTCGTTCTGACTTACGGAGATTCCAACTTATGGTAACCCCTTCCAGGGTCTCCTAGGTGTAGAGTATTCCTAGGTGTATTCAGAATGGATTTACCATTCCCTTTTTATGAGGGTACTCTGGGGCTGTGCAGTTTGCCCAAGGCTATACAAGCTGGCTTTCTTCCCATGAGGCACAGTGGAGAATAAAACCTTTGAACTCTGACTCTGGAGACAAATACCTAACTCCCTGAAACTAATTCAATAATATATCCATTGGAACACACCTTTTTAATAAGCAGCAGGTTTCAAAATCTAAGTGAATAAATGTTACATGCATAATTCTGACACCAACATATGAATCAGCAGCAAGATTTTGAACCATTTTCAAAACTAATGACCAGAAATAAAATAACTGACTTGTGTATAAAAATAAAATGCCAGTAATGAATCTATCCTCTGAACTGAGGAAGCTAATAAATTTCTTAAATACAATTCTAATCTTCAGGGCTACATATAACAAAGTTCATAAGCATTTGCCCATGTTAGTTTTTGTTGTTTAAAATGAATTGGATTCAAGAAATGATTTATGGCTTCTTACCCAAAACAGGCTGTGAGGTTGTTAGGTAGATTGTTAACAGCACCATTCCAGGTGTCTAGTAAAGTGAAATCTGGTCATCTACAGTATTTCCAGAAATGAAATGTTACACTCCCAAAGAGTACTAGAGAAGATGGTTAAATTTCATAAGCTACGGAGGCAAAATTCTGATATTTAATTTATGTGTTATGCATTAAAACTGTTTGACTGTTGCAAGTCTGATTTGACCTCCACTTACATATATCATTAGCTGTTGGAAGAGTAAAACAATAAAGCAAAACTCACTGTGAAAAAGTTTTATCGGCAAGTTCTGTGTCATTAATTTTCACAATGCACTCATTTTCATGGAAAAGCCCTTCCCTCTTAGATCGGCTATTTTCCTCAATGCCTCGGATAAAGAGTCCTAGAATCCTGGGGAAGAAATGTCAGGTACATTACAGTGGTGTTTCGACTTACGAACATCCCTACTTACGACTATTTCGAGTTACGACCAGCTCGGTTGCAAAATTTTGCTTCTACTTGCAACCAGAACTCCCACTTATGAACAGAACAAGGCAGGGAAGAAAGGCGGGAAATTCAAATTTCTAACTGTAGGTGGTGATGAGGCTGCTTCTTTGTAGCTCTTTCGCCCCGACAGTTAGAGTGAGTGTAATCGAAGGAGCCTTGGGACTGCCTGGCTTCTGCTTTGGAGTGAGCGTGTGTGTGTTTGCAGGGAGTTAAGGTGCTATTTTCTGCTTTTTAAAAACTGTTCTGGGTGTTTTTGCAGCATGGTTTTGAGCTGGGTGGTTATGTTTCTGTGCTGTGATGGGTCTTTGGGTTTTCCCCCCTCCCATTTCCGATGGGTCTTGGGGAGTTTGTTTGCTTTTTAGTTCCCCCACATTTCCGAGCTTGCACAATCTGCTTGATTGCTTTTTGCTCTCTCGATTGCATTTGCAATGAGTCTTGCACAGTTGATGAGCTTGCACAATCTGCTTGATCGCTTTTTGCTCTCTCGACTGCGTTTGCAATGAGTCTTGCACAGTTGATTGGTACCCCCCCTTCAGGCTGGAAGGGATTAATCGCATTTCCAATCCCCCCCCCCCTTTTCGGGCTGGAAGGGATTAATCGCGTTTTCAATGAGTCTTGCAGTGATTTTTTAAAGTGATTTTTTCCCCTTCGGCTGGAATGGATTAACTGCATTTCAATGAATTCCTATGGGAAATGGTGCTTCGACTTATGACCACTTCGAGTTACGACCATCTTCTGGAACGGATTATGGTCGTAAGTCGAGGCATCGCTGTATTTGGATTTATAAAAACCTGTCCTGAATTCAGATCTCACTGGAAAATTCTATCAGTCTCTCCTTCCCTCAACAGCCTCCTGTACCCTCTGAACACCTGTCCTGGATGACAGGAGGACCTGCCAGAAGGGTGGCTGTTGAGCAAGGGACTGGTGGAAAGTACCTCCTGCCCCCAGTCGGCTAGTCTTATCATCTCCAAGATCAAAAAGGGTCAATGGCAAATTTAACATCAAACCTCATGTATTTTATAATGCAATCCTATATACTGTATGTCATTCCTGGATGATGCAGGTCTGGTCATGATGACCCACACAGTAAAATTATATTCTATCTGCACTGCTTGCATTAACTATTGTCTCTGCCCCCTTATATTTTGATAACTACTACTGTCTTTCTCTATATTTTACTACATTCCTTTTTTAAAAAAACTATTAGTCACCTTGAACATTTTATTAGGAAGATAAAAATCCTTAATGACATATTAAGCTATAGTGATAAAATCCAGTTATCTCTGCTACAATATTTCACAATATTTTTGCTATGTTTGTTTTAAAGCATTTACTAAAAATATTGTTGCAAAGTCACACAAATAGCATAACTTTTGCTGTAAGTCAGGGGCTTCCAAACTACAGCCCGTGGGCCACATTTGGCCTGCCTTGCCTTTTTATCTGGTCCAGTCCAGACTCTAGGTCCTTTCCCACCCTGCCCCTGCCTTCCCTAACAACGACTGGCAACAGGGTTGGTCTTCCTGCCCTAACATGTGCTCTCTCTCTCTCTCTCTCCCCTACGGGGAAACAACAAAACTCCTGCTCTTCCCCAGGCTTCTCTCTTCTGTCCCTCACACTTCCTGGGAGCCCTTCCAGGGGACAAGCTCCCTCCTACCCTTCCTTGCTGGCTGCTGCTCGTCTCCCTCCTGCCTCTCAGACCAGATTAGGGCAGGGGGCACCCGGGGGAGCTTCTGGAACCGGTAGAGCCCAGGAGGCAGAGGTGCAGGAAGGAGATCAGAGATATAGCCCCGGTGGCGGCAGCAGGCTGGCGGTGTGTGCTCTGGGGAGGACAAAGGACGGCCGATCCCCATTCCAAAAGATGACCATCAGCTCAGATACCTGTAAGGCTTAGATCCTTGTAAGATGGTTTTCAATTTTAATATATATGCTGCTAGACTAAAACAGGAATCGTCTCAGAAAACAAGGAAGAAATACCAGGCTTCTTTCGATTTATTTATCTTCTATTTTCCCTTGGAAAGTCTTTTATTTCTATGCCTTATTTATGTTGGGCATGCGGTTCCACTCGCTTGCAGTCCAGTGCAGGAACCTCCCCCTACCTTCTCGTCATTAGTTCACCACCAGCAAACGTGGGCTGCTCTGACCGATGATATCATTGCTGCTATTCTAATAATAGATCTAGGACATTGCTTTTCCCTGGACCAGACCACTGAGAGAAGGGGGGGTGTTTTAGCGTTGGCTGCAGATTTCCACTGATGATATATAAGGCTCGTGACAGCCATATCCTGGAAGCTGCAAGAGGAGGAGGAGGAGGAGCAGGAAGTGTTTCTCCTGGGTCATTCCTGCTTTCCCCTCCCTTGGAGAGCAGAGTTCAGTGTTCCCCAAAGCTCCCTTGGCAGTGGTGAACCGGCCCAGTAAATTCTGGGACTGAAGACAACCAAGCCTGTTGTTTGTGTCTTTTTCTATCAAATATCTACAGCAGGATGTGGCTTTCCAAGAATTATGGAAAAGCACTTTGCGCATACAGTACTTCTCGGCATTCTCTTTTCTCCTTCCTCATGTGACCAAAGCTTGATGGGTGAGCCCCATTTATATGAAAGGTTCAGATTAAAGATGTGTCATGGAGGTAGATCATGCTCATTGGAGATTCCTTAATTTACAGCAGTTTACCTCTAAAAGTTGTATCACTTGCATACTTGTACAGTAGAATTTCAGCCATTGATTACACATCATTACAGCAATGCAATGTAAGGTTGTTGGATTTTTTGCAGTACAAGGTTTTTTAAAAAACAAATATTTGACTACCCTACTTTGATACTAATACAACATTCTTTCAAGAACATTTTAAAACCAACTGTGTTTTTGTGTCATTCATCAGAAAGATCCAATTAAAGTCTAGTACCAGACATTAAAAGTAAATTAAATGATGGGCTTAAAAGAGCCACTATTTTTAGAACTGTATATTATCTGTCAATGATCTTAGCAAATCCCTGCTGTGGCTAATGTAACAATCTGATAGCTTTCTTTGATAACTCTCTGGTCTCAAATTCACATTTAGATGAGAAGAATCAACATGTGGACTGAGTTAAGTGTAGTTTGGCAGCACACACTTGTTACTTTTGTTTGCAGCATCTTATGTCAATTATATGTGCTTTTTTTAAAAAAAAAAATCCTACATTACAATAGACCTAGCCATAACAGATACACAGACATTTGAGTTAACTGATGTCAATGCAGAGGAAAGATCCTGATTATCTACCAATATCAAATCTAAACCATTTTTGGAAACTCATTATTTAGTAAATATTGGTATCGTAGTGAACAGAAACAGTAAATATTGATCAGTATTCTACTGAGAAATTGAAAAAAATGCTTTTCCAACGAACAAAAGTGCCAACCATTCTTCAATGTAAACTGACTCACAACTAAAATACCTCTATAAGTGGGCTTGTAAAATGTGCTTTATTTGTTTCGAGAAAGAAGAAAACATACTGATCCGCCAAAAGAGCAATACAAATTCTGCTAAAGGGCACTAGAAAAGGTACAACCATCTCCAGTTCAGTTATTAAAGGCAGACTTCATGATGTGGTGCCTTCATGACACGATACTGCAAGCAGGGTACCATCATATTTTTAATGTGGCTTGAAGAAATGAGTTACCAGCAGATAAACAAGTTGCTTTGATAATATATGAAACCAAATCTGTGTTTAAGGAGCAAGAAGGATAGATGTGAAGTATCTTCTTATATTTCAAGACATACTCATGGTCTTTCAACAAAGATATATTTAAAATGTTTTCCTGGCTGGAGGAGGCAGATATGTTTAGGACAAAAATAAATTTTAAAAAATTGGGGGAGGGAAACTTTAAAAAGGCTCATGAGTTCATATAAAACAAAAATGCAGTGAGATTACAGCAATTATGTAGTATAAGATTTAAGACACGTTAAAAGACCCTTTCATTCCCCTTTAATTTATTTACTGATATTTTAAGGGAAACTATTCAGAAGATCTTTCCCAATGTTATTTTGCTCTGTAAAGAAAAGCCCTTACCTTCCACTTAAAGATGAAAAGTATGGCACCACGTGTATCCCCAGTGGGCCACCTTCCCCAGAAATCTCCACTGTTTTTGTCAGGTTGCTAAGAAAGAAGAGGGAGAAGACATAACATGATTATTTACAAGAGAGACCTAGACAGAAATGTTCTAAGCTCTCACAAGATATGCTTGCCTCAGGACCAACCACCATTTTCAGAACATCTACTTCAATTTCCATGAATATAGCTTGCCTCAGGACCAACCACCATTTTCTTGCAGTCCTTCCAGAACATCTACTTCAATTTCCATGAATATCTCACAAATAGCCTTCCAAAGCACGCTGCAGTATTCCCTGTCCTTTATGAAGTCTCTAACTATATAAGAAGGGTTACATAAATCCTTTTCAGAAGCTATTCTGGTTGTCACTGAGCTGAACCTGAAGATGCCTTCTGGTCCAGGAAAGTCACAAGCCAAAAACAAAGCAACATAATAGATATGTAGAGGCTTGCCAGATGGATGGGCAAAGCAGGGAATCCCTGTACCTGTACCCAGATTCACATTCTGTTGAACTTGGTTTCACCCTTATTGGAGTATTCCTCATATCAGGGCCATAACAGGTGTTATATATCCTGGGGCTATGGGCATATTCAAAAGCGGGTGCCTAACCACAACAAACAATATCTATGCTGGCTTTGTTCAGCACTTCACAACAAAAATGATGACATTTGCATAATGCCACCAGAAAATAAGAACAGGATTTTGGCCAGTATTTTTTGGAAAGGTCTATAAAAAACATTTTATCTCTGCTTCTTCATATTTTCTTTCTTTTTATCTTTTCTTTCATTTTTCTTTCTTTCTTTTTGGGTGGAAAGATATGCACAAGGAAAAAATAACAAATGTTTAGTTTACAGTATTTGTGTTGCATGAATTTTGAAAAGATATCAAAGGAGAAGAGAAGAATAATGTATCTTCTCTCCTTTTGTTCTTCTGCTTTTTTCGGGTGAAGAATGACTGGATACTTCTTCCAACCCCTGGCAGGCTAAGAATTGGCCCAGATCTGTATCAGCTATATAAATGATAAAAGGAAGCCTAATAAACATGAGAAACCGAACCCAGATGGTACTGTCACGCAGTTGGGGAGTAATTTCATAATGCCAAATTTTTCCCCAAATGAGCCAAAGCTGGGCTGGTTTTGAGGCAGACTTCATGGCACGTCTCTTCACTCACAAACAGCAAACATGTGGACTACGTTGGGCTGGGACTGGTCTTGGCCAAACAAAATTGCACACAGCTGAATGCCTATTTACTTCATCCAAGGCAGACAAATACAATGATTTTTTTTTAAAAAAAATAAATTTTCTTTTCTTTCATTTAAGGAATGTATTTATACCAGACTATAGTGATGTGTTGCAACTCTTCCTCTGAATGTCTTTGTTTGCTTTAGCAACAGCACATATCTACCAATGGCTCGAACTGTCCACTTGACTGGAGATTTTGATAAATTCCTAATCCTGCTAGATCAGTGGTCTGGCTCAAAAATTGCTGGAGACTTCATAATCCATAGTTTCTAAATCCAGACAAGAAATACCTTTATATGTTTAGCTATGGCATACATTCCCACACACTTGACTGGAGATTGTGATAAATTCCTAATCCTGCTAGATCAGTGGTCTGGCTCAAAAATTGCTGGAGACTTCATAATCCATAGTTTCTAAATCCATAAATGAGTGTTGATGCCTAACCAACCTTCCATTTAGCCATCATTTTCTCCTCCTCTTTTGTGCCAGTGTCCACCGTTACATCCAGTCCAGAGAACACCAGCTTTACCTCAGTCAAGTAACTAAGAAGAGGTCTGAACAATGATCTTGGCTTATCTTCATAGTTTGGTGACCCACACTTAGGCAGATATCATTGCAATTACCTTGGGTCTAAGGCCAGCAAATGACAAACAGAGGGGAGGATCAGGCTGAGGGAGAAGCAATTGGTCACCAAATTCATTCTTGTCTTGATAAATTATGGCTTATGTCTTGAGTAAAAATGTTCAGAATGCACCACTCTGTCTATTTTACCTTTCAGTGAGATTAAAAGCAAGACTTTAAAAAACTCTGTTGTAAGGGCAAATTGATAAAGCTGCTATTCTTCACATCAAACATTCAGAACCAGATACCTCAAATGTTTCACTTATCCAAACACTGTGTTTTGGATTTCTATTTCTTCTAATCAGAAATCTACAAGTATCACTTTCAGATATTTTATTTAATATAGAAATAATTAGATACTTTTCTGCCATATTTTTTAAGTTAAACTAGTTTACTTTTATATCAGTGAAGTGAACTAGGTAGGAAAAACATTCAGAAACATTTAGTAATGCCCCTTTCTAATCAGTCACCCAGGATGATAAGAATTACCTATTTTTACCTGTGGCATATGGTGGTATATCTGTATCAAAGTGCATTTTATGATACATCAATAATTTTAAATCTGCCTGGACATGGCATTCTGGCTTTCTTCATATTTATTCAGAAGCAGAAGATAAAATAAGAAAGTTACTGAATAAAGAAAAAATCATAACTAATATTGGTTCCTGTTACAATTTGATGAAAAATATATGGTTTCCATTGGGATAAGAAAATCCAGACAAAAACATTGGAAGTAGTTCTGGGAAAGGTGATTGAGCAAACAATGACTGTAACCTTACAAAATGTATGTCCACACAGAACCCTTCTGTACTTGATCTAATATGCATCTCTGAATACACTAAGTAAAAAGAAGACTGCTGCTTCTGCACAGATGCCTTCCCAGAGTGCATTTTCAGACACATGAAACCCCTGAATCCACCATTTTAGCACCTTCTGTGTAAGGTACATTCATAGACTGCTGAATAGCTCAGCGGTTTAGACATATGGCTGTGGAGCCAGAAGTTGGGAGTTCAATTCGCTTCGATGCCTCCTTGACACGGGCTGGACTTCATGACCTAGTATTATTATTATTACAATTACTTACAACAATCTCTTTTCATGAAATACTGTACCTTTACCCAAAGCATATACTAACCACAGACAACAGAAATAGCTTTTAAGAATGTTGCAGTATTATCAAACTACTGTCTTTTTTTTCTCTCGTGGATAAAATTAATAAGCATGAATGAGGCGGCATAAAAAGATACACAGTGAAACAGGAGGGAAGAAAAATGATAACTTGTGCAAACATTGCCTCCAGATGTGGGCTTCCAAACCAAAGCCAAGCGGAGATCAATTGTGGTACTTGTGAGCTGCTAACATGGGAACACCAGGTGCATCAGCTCTACCACCCACTTTGAGAAACCAAATTTGTCAGCAACAACTAGACCATAATATACTGTGGCTAAAAGTGCTCTTTATGGCTTTCTAAAAAGGAATGAAAACAGGTAGCAGCTGATACATTTCCTATCCTGTACCTGGTGATGATGAGATGCAATCAGAGAAATTTATTAGCAATAGTTGACATGGTATGAGGCAGCACAGGGGAGTCAATACAAGGTAATCAGGAAATTGAGTCAATCAACACAAAGCATCATCTACTGATTGAATCCACAACACTGCAGGAAATTAAACAGGCAAGAGAACAGGAAGCAAAGCTGTTGTGGTCAAGTGTACAAAAATAGTTGACTGTCCAGATAAGCACCAGGCTTCACACTGAGGCTGAAGTAAAGCTTTAGACTTCAAAAACATCTCCTAGGTATGCAAGACTTGCATAAAACTGGCAATCCTAATATCTAGGCCCTTCAGGCCTGTTATTCCAACTTCTTTATAGTGAGCAACTACAGAGAGTGCAACACAGTGCTATAAACAAATATATGGCATGAGCAGAAACGTATTTTATCTTCACCGCTAGGTGCTATATAGACTAATACCAAAAACAGGGTACAAGAAAGGACTAGCTCTGTTGAATATCCACTGGTATTGACTTAAGACCAAGATCAGCTGCTGCTGAAGATGCTAAATACTGTCACCAAGACTAGGAAAGGCACTCCAAAATAACAAGAATTTTTAAACAGAGTTAACCAACCTGCTAAAATGAAATCTCAAATTACTCTCAGAAGGGAAATCCAATGCTGATTCAGCCTCTGAAATCAAAGGAAACCCTGTCTTCAGCTTCCATTGGGGAAAAATATGCCAGTCTCCTACAGCAAACCAATGAAGCTTCTTGTGGCACTTTAAAGACTAAGTTTCATTTGGCACAAGCATTTGTGACCAACAACCCATTTCTTCGGAAGCATGAAGTAATGCAGGACCCTTCCCTTTTCCCCCCTATTGTCAAAACTCTTCACTAGGCAGGATGTTGTGCTTTGTTATTGGACTTTTCCTCAAGGCCATAGTTCATAACATTATCGGGCTGAACACAGAATGGCGTTTTCAGACAAAATTGAGTCCAGTTTCTATGGCACAAGCAGGGTGTAAGATGCATTCAAAGTTGCTGGGGCAAAAAAAAAAAAAGAAAGGAAGAACAGATATCCTCTACTTGTGACTCAGCTTTGTATTAAGCTACAGCAAGTAATGGCATCTCTAAGTGGCAGTATCTTTAAATAATTCAAAAGCGACATATTTTTCAGTTATTAAAATCATGGACTTTTAGTTCTATTGCGCTCAAAACATATGCATGCTCGCTGCAGGTAGGAGGTTTGTAATACTGTTTTACCTCAGCTTTCCATGTTGCCAGCACTAAGACAGATGGGAAGGGAACATGAACTAAATGTGCTGATGAAGAAAATGAGCTTTGTATTACTATACTTATGTTTTATTCATGTAATAAGTGTATTTAAAACAAATAGTTCCAGAACTGGCCTAATACTACCCCAAGAGAAACAATATAAAATACAGGATTAGTAAAGATGTGATGGAACACTTCATGAATAGCCCGTGCATGACATTCCAAGTAATTAAGTGTTAATAAACCGAGTATCTACTTTCTAATGGCCTAGGTTTAATTTTTCATTAACAAGGCTATTTTTGCTATGGGAAAACATGTTTTAAAAATGTGGCTCGCAAAAACTGCATTTCTGCTCCCATATGTTGTGCTATGGGGTGAAATTTCACGGCTGGTGATACATTCCTAAGCTACAGCATAATACTGTTATTTTTAACCTCTTTCAATTAAAGAGGTTCTGGGCAGGAAAAGGAATGAAAGAAGGTGGAGGGGGGAGAGAGAGTACCTTAAGTCATTAGCTATTACTGAAGACATTAACTATTCTAAGTAGCTTTGTATGGTTTTATCAAGCTTCCTTTTAAAGCAAGCCTCTTATTCTTGGATTTGCTTATTGCTAAGAAACTATGTCTTCCCCTCTAGAAACATTTTAAAAACAACAACACTTCTCTTCCTCAGTCTTCTCTCGCATGGTTCTAGAAGCAAGGAATTACTTTCATTATGGACAGTTCTCCATTTCTCTTTTTAAATATCCCCCCCCCCATTGTTAGCCTATTAAGACTCACAAAGGTTTAATACATCCTTTCAATATATGCATGCTACTTTATCCAACATGCTTTCATGTATTTGCATTGTTCAAATTACTTGATGTAGCAATTAGTTGTCACAAGATTAAATAACTTATTTTTCAAGTTTATTTTTAAAAAGCTACTTAAAAAGTCATCATAAGCAAGACTAGATATTGGATATACAAACAAGGCTCCTTCATCCTAGAGTGTTCATATGTGGCAAGCCATTACATGTTTAGGAAGTGTACTTCTTCCTGTCATTTGGGGATCTCGCCACTGAAATCTTTGGATTCAAGAATGCCAGGCTGGATAGTACAAACACAGCATAATTGAAGGTGGCAGCTGTGCAGAGAGGTTACTGCAAACATCACCCTATATTTTCCACTGATCGCTAATATTACTCCCTTTACAGTTAAAAGCCATCAATTGGTCAAGGATCACCACATCTTAACCCGCCACCCACTAAAATTTAGGCTCTCGTTTGGACCAAGATATTCTTAATTTAGCTTAGCTGAAGCAGAAGATACAGAAGGAAAGCATGGTAAAGATAAAAAAATCTCTTGCCAGTAAGCAGTGATAGATCAGTAAGGTTACATACAGATGAAATTTTATTTGATCAAGGGAGCAAGGAAAGACATGGCCATAGGCATCACTGAACACAATGGGCAGATGCCAGTGTTTTATACTGGGTGAATTGTTGTGCTTAGACCATGGAGGTCTGGGTTCAAATCTTCACTCACTCATGAAGCTCAATAGGTGACATGGGGCCATTTTCTCCCTCAACCTGACCTGGTTCCAAGGGTTATTACGAAAACATAATCCAATGCATACCTAAGCTTCTTGGGAAAACAGGTGCAATTATTCTTTCAACCATCATTAGTGGAGGCTGAGCCTCCTATTATCAGAAAGGGACAGTTCAGGACTCCTAATCAAACTATGTCCCTGAAAGCAGCCTTCTGCTGAAATCAAGAGCTGGACCCAATAATACCATTCACCTGACTTTTTAATACGCAGACGGGGCAGATTTTGCCACCATCATATCAGTGTTCAAAAGCTGCATTCTGGGTTGTGATAACCAAGTTCTCCAGTGTTCAACCCTTCTTTTTCTAGACACAAAGCTCTGTGAGGTGCCAACCCCCTCAATTTCCAGAAAATTAGTAAAAACAGAATTATTTAAAGCTACCTTTTATTACAGTTTTAACCACTGATCTGAGATGTCCAAATTTGTTTTAAATGGTTTGATTCTATTCAAAGGTAGGTTTTTACATTTGAGCCTCATAGCGCAGTGGTTAAACTGCTGTACTTCAGCCGAAACTGTGCTCACAACCTGGGGTTCAATCCCAGGTAGCCATGTCAAGATTGACTCAGCCTTCTATCCTTCCGAGGTCGGTAAAATGAGTACCCAGCTTGCTGGGGGGGGGCAATGTGTAGCCTGGATAATTAACTTGTAAACTGCCCAGAGGGTGCTTGAAGCAGTATATAAGCAGTATATAAGCAGCACACTTTTTGCTTTTTAAGCTAGTGGCAGTGTTTTATTTATTTTATGGTATTTAATGTATGATTTATTTTAAATATTTGTCATGTTGTGAACTGCTCAGATAGTGTTTGTGCTCTGGGGTGATACACAAGTTGAAATAATAAATAAATGGAGGGAAAGACAAATGAATTGTTATCCTATTCTGATAACATCTTAGCTTATTTCCCGCTGCAGATATTTAGGTACCACGGGAAAACACCAAACTAGATCAAAGGAAACCTTTATCCTCTCACTTAAATTCACATAGAGCTGGCTATTTTGTTTTGTTATGTGCTATCCACTCTTTTCTGAAATATGGGAACCTGTGGATTAATGACTTCCAAAAATCCTGTTATTAACTTATGTGCTCAGGTACTGCAGACTATGGCTTCCTTTAGTTAGTCCATCAGTCTCAAACCATGGACTGTTTTTTTATATAGTAACAGTTCTTTATATATTCACTGTCTGTTCCTGCTCTTGTTTTTGCAGAGAGGATAGAGCTTCTCCATCTTCTACTTCTCATCATGTAGTATAATTCATTTATATATTGGCCACCCAGCGATGTCTGTATGTACTATTGTCTACTTGGTTGCCTCCATCATATCTTTGTAATGAACAAAATCTTTGCTTCACAGAACTCTATGAGCTTCTGTTCTGCTTTATTTCTTACTCCCAGGCCAACATTGTTCTCCAGCATTACTTCATTCTACTTTATTACTTGTTTTGCATTCCAGACACCCATGATCATTAGCACATTTTGTTTTGGGTCATGCTGATATCTGTGCCACAGGGAACCATATTATAGTAATATTGCAAAATCTTTCCAGTATCCATGGCATGGGAGGGAAAGAAAAAGAAAAGTATGCTAGCTGAAATGTTAAGGTCCAACAAAAATGTTCATTCTGATTTCAGAGCTGCCTTGCTTCTTAAAAAAGTGGTTTATGTATAAAAGCTTGTAACCAAAAAATAAAATAAAAATCAGTTTTGCAATCCTATTACTAAATGTCCTACTAATTATTCTCCAGACTGACTCAACCTATTGTCCCTTGATGGTCCTTCCATTTTCACTCTCTCAAAATACTTGTAAAATGGCACCCTGCTCTTCCCCCACCATATATGCATACAGACTTAAATCCCCCCTTGAAAGCCTGCTATTAGTTACTGCTTTTTTTAAAACAGACTGAAAACAAAAGAAGCAACTGTGTATTGTCCTAAACTCAATGGACCTTAACATCACCAAGCTAATTGGCATTTGAGTGTGCCAATTCTTGCCAATTTTCAATCCTTACATTAAGCATGACTGTGGAAATTAGAGGTAACATGTAAAATCCTTGATGAGATTATACAGAACTTTGGTTATAAGTCATAGCTAACCACACAGAAGGTCTGTCAACTGAACTAGAGTCAAGTTATTGAGGAGGTCAACCTCTTTCCTTCTCTCCAATCACCAAGCTATTCCTTCCAGGAAAAAAATATTCTGTCCCTACGTTCTGCTAGCTACAGAGGCAGGAATAATCATTTGTATCTCTCACCTCCTCCCCATCCTATCCCACGAATATCAGCAGGTTAGTGGATGGAATATGTTAATTATCTCCTCCAGGTTATATGGTACCAGTACCATCCATTCTATGCCATGCAATGCCCCTTCAGCAAAAAAGAAATGTTGGAAGATCTGATCATTGACTTCTCATATCATGTCAAGTTGGGCCCCCAGATAAATGGCAACTGAGAAGTTCCAAAGCAAGCTTATAATCCACGTAATACTAATATTTCTCAGTGTCTCACCATGTCTCTTAAACAAACTGCTTTCAGAGAAGGGGAATATCTCTGATCCATAACAGGCATGATGTACATGGACACATCTCTAGGAATACATGAATTTATTTGAAGTCTAGAAATGATGAGGATAACAATATAACTGGAAGGAAGACATAAATATATTCATACCTGAAAATGGCTTTTGTTTTCTGAGATGCCAGCACTTCATTGTGTGCACCAAGATCCCATTCTTCTGATGAGGAGTGTGTTGAACACTAAAGGGATTTTAAAAAACGTGCATTTTAAAGTGCAATATAACAATGTGGATGAAGAATCTGTGTTCTGAAGAAAAAGAAAACACTCAGCAACTCCATTCATAATAGGGTTGACAACGTCCTCCATATAAAACTTTAAGAAGATGGTACTTGACACTGATATCTTGAGATATGACTTGATGGCACCATACCTAACCCATTTTATATGGAATAGAATAGAATAGAATAGAGGGACAAATAACACTTTTTTGACCTTTTACATTTTACTGAGTACGTGCACAAACAATGTGTAAATGAAAAACGCTTCTTTTTATGCAAGAGAAAAAAATTATCCACTGCCCCAACTATGAAGGACAAGAAAAACACAGGGCAAGGTTGAAATCCGTTTTAGGCAAACTCATAAGCTATGTGTAAGTGGTTCAGCACAAGGACAAGATTACTGGTTGCTTGGTTTAAAATCTATAGCTAGATTGAACTTTCATGAAAGACATCTGGTAACATTTTATTTAAGCAGTAGTCAAGAAGTACCATCTGGTGAAGAAAGAGACTTTGACTAAGCTGAAATCTATTTTACTGTTATTGTACTACGTGTGAATATATATATGATGACAAAGTGAAGAAGACTAAAAGAACAGAGATTCTAATTCAGGGTTTCCCAAAATGAAACAAGCCCTGCACTAGTGGGCATGTTTGCACAAGAGATTTGCATTTTGTTCTCTCTCTTTCTTTCTGTGGAAGCTGCCTTTGCTTTGCTGAAAAACAAACCAACCAGAGTGGAAGCTACATCCATATTTGCTCAACATTTTGAAGAAACCATGGAACAAAGTTCTGTTATTAACAAACACCTATTTGCGTCTGAGTAGCATGGAAGCGGATGTCAACAGAAGCACTGTATTGTTTTCCCAGCATACCCACCCACCCGCACCAGTACAAATTAAAAGGTTGTCATTTTCTGTTATGAGGGAGGTAAAATGCTTCCCTTGAATGATTTATCTGTAGTGAGTGCAATGCTGTGCTACCAGCTTCCCTCAAACAGCCTCACACCAGACATTTTGGTAGCTTGATATACTGAGCTGCAACTTCTTCATTCATCCTATTTTGGCCTGGGTTAGAAGCTGACTCTAACACTTGGTCAATCTGGCCATTTCTGAAAAGGCTGCATTGAGGGAGGGTTTTTTGAAGCACATCCCTTCCCTCAAACAGCCTCACACCAGACATTTTGGTAGCTTGATATACTGAGCTGCAACTTCTTCATTCATCCTATTTTCCTTGTTGTCTCTATCTGCTCTACCTTCAGCTGTCTCCCAAAGTGCAGAAATTAAAATGGAAGCTGCTTGATGAAAGACCCTTGCCTATTCGATATTTACTTTAATTTTTATTTTATCCTGCAAACCATTTTGCTGAATATTCTGTTAGTGCTGCAAGAGAATGCTTTTGTATTCCAGCTGTAGGTATATATTTTTGGATCCAGCAGAAATGACCTTTTAAGTCTTTGTTATGAATTTCTTCTATTTAATAGTTACACTATTACCACGAGGGTCAGAGAAGTGTACAGTACATGGAAACCAATACATCACCTGCTGACAAGTTTCTTATCTGTTTGGCAAAATTTCTTTCTCACTGAAGGAAAACACAAATTTAAGCTTAATGAAAAAGAGTTACATTATTACTTCTGTGGTATCTTCATAATAGCATGGTCCTTTCAGACCTGGTGGCTCTGTAGTTATTTAAGTAATTACTTAATTTCCTATTTTGACAAGTGACATATTATACCTCCCCTAAGATCTTGTCAGTAGTGGATGCATAAGGAGAAATGGCCTTACAGGTGCCATACTTTTGATACCTCTTCCTTCCAGATCATGTCAGTCTGAAGGTTAAATAATATATATATATATTTAGAAGGGGGTATATATATTTAGAAGGCGGTGTTCTAAAATATTTTAATAAATAAATAATAAAAACTATATAGACATAAATATTTGCACTCTTTTGGAATGCTTATAAATTCAGTCCACCTGTTACGTTTATTGGAAATATGTTTTGCCTAAGGTGGTAACTGTCTTTTTTAAAAGAGCAGGAAAAATACAACTTAACAAGTAATTTTTAGAACAATTATTTTCACAGCATGATTAATGTACATCAACTTAACAATTTTAGAACAATTATTTTCACAGCATGATTAATGTACATGAGCTGCTCACAACAATCCCAGCAAGTTACTAGATTGCCCACATCTACGCTAGTTTTATCTTCAGGAAAAAAAAAAACAAAGGCAGGCTTGACCTTTCCTATGTAAGCTCTAAAAAGATTTGTAGCAGAAACAGTTCTTCTTTCAAATTCTATCACTGTTGCAGCAAATCATCTGAACACTTGTCCTGCTTACCTTTCTTGACCTGTATGACACAGCAAATAGGAAAGAGTTTATGAAGAACCTCCTGTAACCTTCCTGTGGCACCTGCCCAAATGCAATATTTGATGCATTTTTTTAGGAGTGCTACCTTTTCAGTGGGCAGGATTAATTCTGCCAAAGGCGTTACTTTTGCTCACCCAAGAGGATATGGAAGTGGACAAGCCAGAATTGCACATTAAGGCAGAAATTTCCATCCAAATTCACACAAATGCTACATTCTCATGAGTTCAATTGGTTTTAATTATCTCTTAGAACCTGACCTTAAATATCTACACTGGCAAGGTCTCCAGTCTCATTCTCTTCTACTGTACAACCGCAGTGACTGTCCTTTTTTTTTTGGTAAGACATATATTACTTGTGCAGCAAATCTCAGGATCAAGTTAACAGTCAATCTCTATTAAAATGCTCCAGTTCAATTTAATTCTTACTTACTTTATGTATCCTGCTTCTTCCAGTATCAAACTGAAACAGCAAGTTCTCAAAAAACAGGGGGGGAAAGGTGGTAATCAAGAGTCTTATCTTTCCCTCACCACAGTTCTCTCTAATTCTAAACCTGGATGGTTTAATGAATATCACTTCGGAAACAAAACGAAGACACCAGAAATCAAAGGTTCTGGTTTCTGTATTCTCAGGGACTCTTCAGAAAGGTTATAGTACATGGAAACACATTAGTCTGTAAACAATGAATATTGAAGATATCTTTAATTTTTTTTAAAAAAATTATTATTATAAGGATCGATACACAGTGATTTCCAGGACCTATGGCATGTTGTACACAATATTTAAATTCTGAGGATGTTATGTGAGAGAGATGGAAAAAAAGAAGATAGTGCAGAAGGAATTAGTTTGTTTGACCACTTAAAATTTATTGTAACTTGGAAATGATGTGTGTGTCAAATGATCAGATGTCAAAGAAACTACTCCTTCTGCACTGCACAAGGCAGATGTCCTTGTTGTTGTTAGATACTGTCAAGTCCGAACTGATTTACAAATACCTTCACAGGGCTTTCAAGGTAAGGGAGAGATTTAAGGAGTGGTTTTACCACTTCCACTCCTCCAATGCATTGCCATGGCTGAGCAGGGATTCAAACCCTTGCCTCCAGAATCCTAGTCTATCACTCTGTCCACTATACCAGTGGTCCCCAACCTTGGGCCTCCAGATGTTCTTGAACTACAACTCCCCGAAGCCTTCACCACCACCTCTGCTGGAC